CTATCTGCTGGGGCGCCGCCGTAGTAGTAGTAGTAGTAGTAGTAGTAGGAGTAGTAGCAGCAGTAGTAGAAGTAGAAGTAGTAGAAGTAGTAGCAGTAGTAGCAGTCGTAGAAGTAGAAGTAGTAGAAGTAGTAGCAGTAGTAGCAGTCGTAGTAGTAGTAGTAGTAGTGGTGGTGGTGGTGGTGGTGGTGGTGGTAGTAGGAGTAGTAGCAGTAGTGGTAGCAGAAGTAGTAGTAGCAGTAGTAGCAGCAGCAGCAGTAGCAGGATTAGTAGTAGTAGTAGTAGTAGCAGCAGCTGCAGCAGCAGCAGCAGCAGTAGTAGCAGCAGCAGTAGTAGTAGCAGCAGTAGTAGCTGCAGAGTAGAGGTCGTAGCAGCAGTAGTGAATGGTAGTAGCAGTTGTAGCCACAGAAGTCGTGGTCGTAGCAAAGGCGGCATAACTAAGGCTGAGTCGGGCAATAAGATTTTGGTCACAGGTTCGAACGGAGAAGCTTTCCATGTATTTAATGTCGATGCGCAAGCACAAGCGAATTAATGTTTCCAGAAAATTTCCCAGAATTCCGCTGGAGTCACTGCCAGCCAACACGGCACTCCCACAACCACCGTCACCGCATTGCGTTGCAAGCATCCTGCGCCGTCGACGAAGGACGGAACCAGGAAGACAGCGCGATCTTGTACTGGATGAGGCAAGTCGCAAGTTCTTTTTGAGCCACGCCGCTGTAATGATGCATGTCCTGTCATGTCACCACAGGTTCGGCATTCGTTCCGCTCTTGTGACAGGATCGAAAAACAGCACGGAACACCGCAGTACGTGCGGAAACATCCAGTGACACAAAGCTACTTGGCAGCAGCTAGTAGTCATCCCGAAGACGCCGCTGGAACGCTTGAATTAGCAGTACCTCTTCCGATGCCACATCGCCTCCAAGCATAAATCAATCAAGATGTGAAGAAATGAAGATGCACAAATCAGGTCCAAGAGAGACGAGGCCGAGGCGAGAAACAAGCCGGTGGCTAGCGAATTCAATCCAAGTCGCTTGATGCTTGCGGGCCCGACGATCGGACGAGCCATTTGACCCTTGGTTCAGTTGGTTTGCATGCCGTTCGGCCGACTTTGCTCTCAAGATGTTTCAACGAAGCACACCGTATGCCACATCTAGCGGGGTAGAGAGGTGCCTCGTGCCACTTGGAGACTCCACTTCCAGATCCTGAAGACGAAAGCTTGATGGATGGATCTGACTCTTGTCTGCCACCATTCTGGTCTTGACGCGCACCTGTCTCCGGATGATTCTCCGTCTATGCCTGATTGCCGGCAGGAACAGCTGGTGTGGCCGCTGCCCCACTGTAGGATGATGCGCTCAAGTTAACGCCAAGTCTTTGGCAATGAGGCCGCACCTTCACTATCAACGCCTGACGAGCGAGACAGCATCTCGAGAGCTGGCCAGACTTGCCAGCGGCAAGACCAGCAAGGACCGAAGATGGAGGGCCTTTGCAATGCATGGTACTGCTTTGCACTGCATTGCTCCAGGACAAAGAACCAGATGACGACGGGGGGTCCGATTCGAACCCCAGCGCTGATGAAAAGCCAGCAGCAGAACTCCGCTGCTCGGCGCGAGTTGCGTTTCTGTCAGCGGGGTCCGGCCTGTCCCTGGCTCCCTGGGTGCAGGAAAAATTCAGAAAAGATTGGCAACAAAAGCCAAGAGGCCGCGTTTGCAATGCTTGCTTCTGCATCTGAGTGACCGAGCTTACGGAGCTCGCTCATGTAGGCAGAAGACCTTTCGCATTGAGCCAGAGGAGGTTGAAGAAGAGGTGAAGACTCTTGGCTGCACTGTTCGGGTATGTGGAAACTGCGCTGCGCCCCTGCCATTGCATGCCGCCTAGGTACAAAGTGATTGTCGCGCTGCGTCGATGCACGAAGGATGTTTTTGCCCTCCCCGCATGCGCCCCTCTTCACTTTCTCATGTTCCTGAGGTTTGGCAAATCTATGAAGATCCCCATCAAGCCAGGCTCGCTCGATCGATTTGCGACCCGTTTGTGGCCGTGGCATCTTAAAAGGTGACAAGATGGAAGGTGGTGTGAGCCGCAGGAACAGCCAGGCCGGAGCTAGATCGATAGGCTCTGCGAGACGCAGCTGCCTTCGCCATCAGGTCGATGATGCAGCAGAGCGATTTATTCGGGTTGCAAGACGGCACAGTGTGCAAGGTGCTTTGGGACAGCTACCTCAGGCCCTTAGCCGTTTCAAGCGCTTGTGCAGGAGGTGAGATGTCACCGGCGAGCCCCGAGTCGCTGAGCAGGCCAATTTGGCACCACACACGAAAGAAGAAAAAGACGCGGAAGAAGTAGAAGAGACAGAGACAGAGAGCATGAGCGTCAACATAGTATGATACAGCATGGCTTCGTGATGATTCTGTTGTTTTCGGTAAACCCCTGCACAGCAGCACCCGAGGGGGAGAAACCAGCACTGGTTACCTTCTGGTGGGGACTGGGGACCCTCAAATCAAAGCCACAAAGCCACAGTCAGTGCTTCGGCTTCGACTCACGTCGGCGACACACGTGTATCCCAGTAGAGTACTAGGTCAACTGGGGAGAACCAGCAATACTCGTTCAAGTATCCGGTGCATGTTGAAGTGTTGCTTCTGCATGGTGGTGGGGATCCCCAGCGAGCGACCTCCACTACTGATTAAAATAATCTTGTTCTGATGTCCTTTCTCATAGTCAGCACGGCCTTGAACTTAGTTGTTGTGCACAGCAGTCAGGCAAGAAGGGGGGGAGCCGCAGACCGTAGGCAACATACTGGGAAGGGACCTAGGACATGCCATGGAGGGTGCGGGGATGAGGCCGGGATGCAGGATGTTGTTCAGGGTTGGGGGAGGGTCCACGACAGCCGATTGCACCCGAGCCTCCAAGTCTCAGGGTCGCAGCAAATGCGCCCCAACAAGGGGCTCTGTGTGTGTGTGTGTGAGAGAGCGGTCATCGGTCATGCTTGTGGACTGTTTTCATGCTGCATAGGTTTCATGTCATGCAAGTTGTCGTATTGCTTTCGGAGGACAAGCAAGCACGGAAGACGATCGTGTATCCGACTCCTCACCATAACTGTCTCAGGAGCGGATGCGGCAGCACCAACCCCCTGAATTTACACAGCAGGGGGATGCAGCACATCACTGCGACTGCATCCAACGAAGTTACATGAAGTTACCAGTGATATGGGAAGCCAGAGTTGGCCACTTTGGTGCACCTGCACCTGATACGGAGCGTAACGAAGCAACTAGCATCCTCGCTGTATATATTTATCCTCGCTGTTGGTTCCATGTCGCAGCAAGCTTGGCGCACAAGTGCCAGCAGACATGCGCATCTAGTTTTGAGATAATGAGATATAACTGACCCCAACCGAGAGTACACTCAACTTGTCGAGAGTGTGCCGAGATGCGTACGACGATTCTGATGACGCGTGTCTTGCCAAGGTTAGATCACTCGCCTTGTGACGGGGACACACCAGCAAACTCCGGCAGGCTAACTGATTGCAGCTGACGTTAGTGAAGCAGTTGCCATAGCAGCTGGCGCTTGAGGCACGGTGATGCTCTGCGGCCGAGCAAACTACGGGTGAGTGCGTTTCTGGATGTGACGACGAGCTCCGGCTTTGCAAGCCCGCGGAGCCCGAGCGGACCGAGCAGTCCGGTGAGCCCTTTGAGGCGAAGATCTCTGAGACCCAAATCCAAGGAAAGCGCTCTCCAACCTTCCGAGATCTCCTTTCACCTGCCGCCAGAGCCGCCAGAGGATCCGGACGCGGCGGAAGCAGGGCCGCTGCCTCCAGGAGAGGCTGCAACCGAGCAGTCACCCGCGCTGGAAGCGGCGAGTCCAGCTTCTGAGCCGGGTCTGAGTGGGGCTGTGCCGGGCGTGGTGCCCTCCGACGAGCCGAAGATCGACGAATTGAGCCTCTCGGTCACAAAAAGCTGCTGTCTGCCCTGGCATGTGCCTGCCTAAAGCCCAACAGGTCCCCACAGCGAAGCCGGCTCCCGACTCTCGAGCCGACGACTAAGCAGTCGGCATCGCCGCGACGTAGGGCCGCCGGGGCAAGAGGTTGGCCCGATATTGCCTCTCAGCTGAAAGCTGCTGACAGGACAAGCAAGCAGCCTTTGTGCTGTCATGCAGGTACAGCCCAGGATGTCCTCCACCAGCGAGTGGCCCGTCAGCAATTCATCACTGAAGCTCTCTACGCCTGTCAACTGTGCGCGAGGCCCTCATGCGGGCGGCTCTTGCATCCAGCTTGAGTTCCCCGGCTGGTAACCGTGGAGAAGGCTTTCGGTTTTTTCGAGCGGCCTTTGCTCTGGCCAAGGCTTTCCGCGGATGTCGGTGCGCAGGCTGCGCCCTGTGCAGACCGCTTGTCCGTTTCACAATGCGCCAACCAGGTCATGGAAAGGCGACTGAGCTGTTTGCAGGCGCTGCGCACTTCTGGAGAACCCAGCACCAGTGTGTTTCGGTCTGCATCGCCTGGTCACGACGCTTTTTGCGAGGCAGTGGGGCTCTCATTCAGCCGGCAAGTGTCTCCGGCGCTAGCTGGCTTGACAAGCTCTGACTGCCTAATGGGTCTAGTAACGTCTAGCATGTGTGAAAGCTCCTTGATGTCACGTGAAGTGTCTAGCCGAGGGTGGTGGACGACTCTTGGCAAAATTTCGTGCCTGTGTCTTCAGGGACCGTAGCTACTGAGGAGGTCTGTCATGCAATATGAGGCAAAGCACCAGGCTGCAGAAAAAATGGCTGGTACGTTGAGCCGGCAAGTGTCTGGAACGTTACTTTGCTAGCAATCAGTGGCAGACTACGTGTGCAAGTGCTGACAGTACCCTTTGTTTCGGGGGCACGAGGACTGTGGACGACGCTTGGCAGTGCACTGGGCGCATGTGACCAGAAAAGCCCCCAGTCGGAGCCAGTTAATTCCTGAGAAATTCCTTGAGGTCAAGCAGCAGCCCTCAGACAAAATTACTTGCTTCAGCCGACAGGTGACCCCTGTGCCGCCCGGCCAAAACATGACGAACGTCACTTGCCTGTGGGTTAGACTCCGCACCCATCCCCTGACACAGCAGGACTGCAGACGACACTTGGCAGAGCGTTTCCGGTGCGTTATGCGAGACTTCTGTCAGGAAAGCTGCCTGCCCGGTATGTCAAAGGTGACATAGTTGTGACCAGAGCAATCTTGAGGCTGCACGAAAGAGCTGAGGCAAAGCTGTCACACATTATTCTCCCCGAAATTGCCGGGCAGTTACCATCAGATCAGTCTCCTGAGAACGAAGCCGCTGGTCGTACACTTTGCAGGATCGTGCTGGGTTGGTTCTTTGAAGCGGAGAGCCCTGCGATTGCCGAAAAGCACATCTCTTCCCAGTTCCCAGGCCTCACCTGATCTGCGGGATCTGCGGCCACGACCACAACAAAGGGTGCTGATCGGCCACGGCGGCCACGGCCCATCGAGCTTTCAGGCCTGGGCTCACAAGGGAGCAAGAGAGAAAAGGTGAAGAATCCTCATTTTCGCAATAGCCCGACATGGCGCAGCCTGAAAGCGCTGACCTCTTCTTGGACATGTTGATGCGGCTTGGTGCTCCAGCATACTTGGAGGACTGGGTCGAGCAGCACAGAGCTGTCGAGCATGCTCAGCCGGTTTGTAGCAGCTCAGCTTCAAAAATGACAACGCGGAACTTCATAAGGAGCCTAGGCTGTCATGTGGACCCACGCCAAGGTCCAAAACGGCTCTGGGTGGAGAGGTGGGCTTCGGAGGCGCTGTGTGTTTTCTCCGGTCTGTTGAGAACAGCTTCCATTCCCGACCTTGGGGTAGACCATCAAGATACCGAGCCGCGACATCGGTGGCAATTGGCATGTACTTCTCGTGAAAGTAAGACAGAGGCAGACCCTCACATCGTGCGAGGCTCCACGGCCTGCTTCCATGCACGGTGTGCGGAAGCATCTCTCCAAAGGCAGGTCTTTGCCATGATGTGCCATTGGCGCAACGTGGCTTGCAGATGCCGTGTGTTCGAGGAAAGCAAACCCCGGAGCCCGCACCTGAGTGTGGCCAAAGGCTGGGCAAGAAGTCATGCTGAGAGGAGATTGAAAGACTTACGACGCATTTCTTGGGCAGGAGACAAGACAGCCGAAAGTTAATCGCTGATCAGAACTGCAAACCCAAAGTGCCAAGCAGAGTGACTGTAGCTTGGCTGTGTCGAAGCTTTCGCCTACACACACCAAAGTAGTTACTGCACCAGCTAAGGTTCACTTCAGGACTGCAGCTCCGCCACAACGACGCACAATCGGCGCTGTCGCCAAAGTCATTCCGTTTCCTGCTCAGATGACTGCATCCGATGAGACGCGTTGCTGCCCCTCGCCATGCGAGGGGCTCGGCAGCAATGAAACCGCCCGGCGCCTCGGCGACCCCTCAGGCTCGGCTCATCTCGGCTCCTTGGGCTCTCTCGGCTCATCTCGGCTCATCTCGGCCTTTTCAGTGCCAGGGCCCCCTGTTGGAACCCGGTACACTCCGACTGCAGCCTGCATCAGATGACGGAGCATCTCCGATGCTCGGCAGAAGCCTTTGTCCACGTAGCCGTGCTGAAACTTCTGCACATTTCGAAAGTTTAGTTTATGTAGCTTATGTGACCCGACACGAGGACAAGCCCAAGTGATATGGTCATGCCAGCTGCTCGGCCAGCCTCCGCCGCTTGCTCGAAGGCGGGTCTGAAAAGTGATGTTTTACGTTCCGCCACCAGGGTAGTCTGGACCTGCAGGCGCGCGTGGCTTCTCCACCCCGATTTCAAGACAGGATGGCTGCCGGAATTTGCAACCCTCATGGTATGCAGTGGGGGCCAGCCGCCCTCTCCCGGGCTATGTAATTCATGTTGCGGAAGTCTGCATGATCGAGCGGGTCCGAGCATCTGCAGGCTGCGCTATTCTTATCTGCAGGACGGAGCACAAGGCAACGCTTCTGCAGCTGCTGGGCCGTGGCCAGCAGTGCGAGCCATGTTCTGGACACTTGGCTTGCGCACCGCAAACGGATTGAGATGCTGGAATCTAAACTATGGTTGTGGAGACTCGTCGGGGATGCGCAATGGCCAATTGATTGAATTGGAAGGATATGAGGAATGCCTGTGGCTTCTTTTAAGTGTCGTCACGCATCATGTGCTCCACAACCAATCAGCAGCAAACATGAAGCTGGAGACAACTTGAGATTGTTCTTGGGATTTGCGCCTGCTGTGCCTCCCGTTATTTGGAGGAATGCCGGAGGGGATGTCTGCTCTCCACACTGCTCGCGAAAGGCTCGGCTTTGCGTGGAAAAGATACACGGCGCACAGAAACTGCAAAGGCATGAAGATCTAGCCTCGCAGTGTCCAGCGAAAATACTACAGTACATCTACGTACTATTTCCCCTTTTGTACCAAGCAGTATGGCTGTAGCAAAGCATCGATGCCTCCTCCTGCACCGAGACCGCAGTCATGTCTTTGCAGCTCGAAAACCCTCCAGACGGCCTGATGCAAGGAGAGGGAGAGCCAGAGAGAGAGAGAGAGAGAGGAACTTCCCTTAACCACAACCCTGACGAAAGAAAAGAGAGAGTGTCTCGCGTCCACCAGAAGTGAACTTCCGATGGCAGTGCAGAGAATCTGTCACGACAGAATTTGCCAAAAGCCCGAAATCTGTTCGGGCGCCCCGGGTCGCCTGACCAGCCCCTCATGCCCAGGAGAGCGAGAGAGAGAGGGAGGGGAACATTTGCAGTTTGTTGCTACTCTGTCCAGCAACCTGCTGCTCTTGCCTAATGCAGCCCTGATGCAACCAAGCCTGCACGTGGCCATGTTAAAGTCTGCTAAAATTAGCTGTTTGTTGTTCAACGTATGTTATGACTAATTAAAGTTGAAAAGGAGACGACCATGGGTGTCCCAAAGATGTACTGAGCTGGAACCCGTGAGATAAACTTTGTAGCAACTCCGGGGAACAGCACACTGTGCACACCCCCTGAAAACTCCATGAAAATTGGGGGGCCTACTGGCCGGGGGGTCTAACCGACCCCTCATGCCCTAGGGAAGAAGAGAGACAGAACTTTCCGCGATCCCTTCTGTCCAGCCGAGCCCACTTTGGACAATGCCCAAAGGGGGAGGGTCAGACACCCCAAGAACCGCGGGTGCGCGCTCGCGCGCGGAGTGGGGGGATGGACCCCCCCCTGCTCCTTGCCTGGTAGAGAGAGAGAGAGAGAGAGAGAGAGGGGCGCGGGCAGAGGGCAACCTCTGCCCACAGCCCTGGCGAAAGAAAGAGAGAGGGGGTTGTCAAGAAGAGAGGGGGGTCAACCCCTTGCTCCTAGCCCTGGCGAAAGAAAGAGAGTGCCAAAGTCGTGTTGGTGCAGAAAGAGGTGTGCTTCTGCGTAGAGGTTTGCCCCTGGGCAAGAGAAAGAACGGGATATACTCGTGTAGGTGCAAATTTTCGAGTCGAGACATCGGACTTTGATAGTCTGAGTCTTGAGTGGGGACCAGGTACTGAGCAGCAGTAGGTGCTGAAGTCGCTTGACACCAGGGCGTGGCTGCGCAAGGAGAGGGGCTACGCAAAGCCGCAGGGAGCATGCAAACAAGGAAGCAAGAAAGCAAGAACATTACTATCTTGCCCATGTTGGGCCGGCCGCGTTACCGTCTCTTTTGTGGCTGCTGCTCGCATCATGCGGGTCGAGGGTTCGCGGGCTGTGCGACGGGGGGAGGGGAAGGGGAGGGAGCCAAGGAGGGTGGGCATGAATGGGCTTTGAACTCAGAGAAGATGCAGACAGTTTGGCAGCTGGAGTCGCACCCAGTCCTCGAACTTACGAAACCTTGCGAACAAGCACGCGGGCAAGGGTGGTCCCTCTAACTTAAGATTGAGAGCCAGCAGCGGTGCTCACCAGGCGTGGAGGGACTCCGAGCACTTTTCGTTGGGAGGTGAGGACATGCAGCCTGTGCAGCCTCATGCAGCCTCGTAGGTATGGAGGTTCAACATTGGAGTGACTTGGCCGCCGTGGCAGGCTTCGGCTCCGGTTGCAGCGCCACGGGGATGCAGCCATCTACGGAGTGGAGGCCAACAGCGGATAGCTGACGTCGGATATCGTCTGATCTAGTGGTCATGCTGGCAGGCTGGGCACGAATGGCGAGTGAGTAAACAATCAACGGCTCAGCGTCTTGCATGGGCATTTTGCGCGACGTTGTCGAAACAAGAGCTCTTGTTCATTCTTGCTGTAGTCGCACGTTCACGCTAAATTGCAGTTGGCAGTTGGCATGCAGCCTTTTAGTTTGGGCTGTGGGTGCAACGTCCACATGCCCGGAAGATATAACTTGACTTAATGACTTAATGATTAATGATTGAAGCAATGCAGAGGCACCATTAGTTTGACATGTGTTTTTCAGCAGGTTTAACGCTGCTTCCAGAACGCCGCATTCCTAACATGCTTTTCACAAGGAGTGCTGTGACCGTATCTGTTTCGGTGGTTCCGCCATGACGACCATCTCCAAGCTGGGCATCCAGGGCATCCGAAGCTTTGACCATGAGCGAATGGAGGTGATTGAATTTGAGAAGCCGGTCACCCTGATCGTCGGGCCGAATGGCTCGGGAAAGACAACAATCATTGAATGCTTGAAGATGGCTTCTGCTGGAATGCTGCCGCCCAATGCTAAAAACGGTCACGGGTTTGTTCACGATCCCCAAGTAGCACGCCTTCCTGAAGTGAAGGGTCAGATCCGCATGCTGTTCAGGGCTGGTGCTGAGCAGAAGGACCGCGAGATCTGTGCAATCCGATCCTTCCAGCTAGCCAACCGCCGCGTGGCAGGCCGCATGAAGCCGGCTTTCAAAGCTTTGGAGAGTGTCTTGCGAACGACGGCCGAGGATGGCAGCAAGGCAAGTCTCAGTCATAGATGCGCGGACATGGATACGCAGGTCCCCGAACTAATGGGGGTTTCTCGTGCCGTACTTGAAAACGTCATCTTCTGTCACCAAGAGGAGTCGTCGTGGCCGTTGCAGGAAGCAGCAAGTGTGAAGAAACGCTTTGATGACATCTTTGGCGCAACTCGCTATACGAAGGCGCTTCAGAACATTAAGGAGGTGCAGAGGGATTGGACAAAAACCACTCGCGACCGTAAAGCAGATGCTGACCTTTCGCAAGCTCATCTGGATCAAGCTCGTAGGTTGGCTGGCCAGAAGGAAGACCGCGAAAGAACAGGTAAAGAGTTGTCCAATGAGCTTGAAGGATTGGACTCCAAGTTAGCTTCCGCTGGTGAGGAGGTGCAGAAGGCGGAGATTGACTTGGCCCAATATGAAAGTTGTGGGATCCGAGTTGCTGAGCTGAAAAGCCTCATCGGTCGTTGTCAAAAGGATAAGGCAGAAGCAACAGAAGTCATGAAGCAGAAAGGACAGCAATACTTTCGGGAGAGTTTAAGCGAGCTGCAAGAACAAGCCCGGCAGTTCAACGAACGTCAAGTTGTACAAAGTGACCAGCAGGTCAGACAGGCGAAATCGGACGTAAGCAAGGGAGAGGCGCAGTACCAGGCTGCCGTGCATGCATCTCGCCAGTTGCGAGAGGACATGGGCGAGACAGTTGCAGCGGCAGAGTTGTTGACATCCAGAAGGGCAGACTTGCAATCTCGCCTGCTGCAAGCGAATGAATCGTCAGTTGACGCACTTCGTGCCAGGTTGGATTCCGAAGCTGCAAAATTCGCGCAGGCAGAACGGGACCAGAGACAGCGAGATTCCCAAGCAGAGGAATGCATAGCCTCAGCCGAGCGTGCCTTGCAAGAAGCGGCCTTAGAAGCTTCTAAGCATGAAGCCCGAATCCAGGACTGCACCAAAGCGGTTGGCCGACTTGAGGAGGAGGCCAAGACCCTCTCCCGGGCTGGCCCAGACCTGGATGCGTTGGTTCGTGCCATGAGGGAGAACGAAGCAGCTTTGGGAGCAGAGGGAAACGATTCCCGCCTGCGACGCCTGGAGGCTCGTCAGGAGGACATCGGCCGGCGACGCCACGATTTACAGTATTCCTTATCGCGCAAAAGCAGCGAGGTGGCACAACTGGAAGCCCAAAGCAGTGTGCACGCAGAAGTTGATGCCTTGCGACAGCGCCTTAGAGAAACTGAAGCTGAGCTCGGCAAAAAGCTTAGTGACATGCGACCTGGCCTAGTGCCCCTGCTGGGCCAAATGCCGGAAGCCTCTGAAGCGGAAGCTAAAGTGGTGGCTGCACTGCACGAGTCGCAGGCATCGCTGCAAGATCAGGCAAAGAAGTGCCAAGAGCTTCAGAGCCGTGTTGGTGTTGCCGTGGCTCGCAAAGCCAGCGCTGAAGCAGAATTGCATCGTCTCCAGCAGGAAGATGCCAGAATCGCATCGGAACTTGGGGTGCCTTCTGCCTCCTCTGGCGCCAGTCACAGCAGCGCCGCTTCTGAGTTCAAAGCCAGGTTGCAAGATGTGAAGCAGCAAATAGAGCTGGCTCGAAAGGATGTGTCAATGACCGAAAGTGCAAAACACATGTACGAGAAGTTCCGAGAAAAGTCGCGGTCGAAGAACATCTGTCAGTTTTGCAAACGTGGTTTCTGTGGTGAGGGTGACTTGGCAACGTTCGAGGATGCAATGGAGAAGTTGATTGCCAAAATCCCGGGTTTTCTGGAATCCAGTCAGCAAAAACTGAAGGAGGTCCAATTGCAGGAAGCTGCCCTCGAGGCTCAGCGTCCTCGCTGGGAGCGTCTTGATCAGCTGCGAAAGGAGGAGATGCCGAGACGGCAAAAGGAAGTCATTCCTGCAGCAGAGGAGGAACGCCGGGATCTCAGCACCCTGAAGCCTAAGTCGTTGTGGCTCCGACGTAACCTCGCTGTGAGCTTTGATCTCGGCAATGAAAGAGGAAACACGCAAAGTGTGTGTAGTGCACCCAGCATGTGGCGCAGAAGCTGAGGCTCTCTGCGTGGTTTGTTGGAGCCTGAAGAACGGGAGCGTCGGAGATTGGAGGAAAGAGACTCTCGGCTGCCGCTTACATCTGGTGAAAAAGCTAGGAACTGACGTTAAACATTCGCGCAGTCCAATGTCAAAGGTCAAGGCGCTGCACGAACTGCGTCCGGAAGCCGCTGCCTTGCAGTGGCTCGGATTTTCGATTGAAGATTAGGTTCACGCTTGAAGGCTTATGTGGCTACCTGCGTTCAGCAGAGCTGATCTCAGAGACGAGGCGTCTCGCCAGCTCCGTGGAGGAGCTGCGGGTTGCCGTTCGTGGCAAAGAAGCGCGTCTCCTCGGTGCCAACTCCAAGGTTTCCCTGCAGGCCGGGGCAGCGGGCCAGGGTGGGTGAGGGAGAGGGGCAGGGTGAATTTTCACAGGCAGAGCGTGACCAGCTGCGGGTGCTGCAAGAGCAACTGGTGGAGCTTGGCAAAGAGGAGGACTCCGTTCGCATGCAGCGCGACCTCTTGGCTAAGCAACAAGAGCAGCTGCGCACCCAACTGGGTGAGCAGAAAGGACGGCTGCAAGTTCTCCAGTCTCAAGTGGCCAGGCGAAGCGACGTTGATTCGGAGTTGGCGGTCCGAAAGGTCGAGCTTCAGGAAAGCACCGAAGCAGCTCGACGCGCGAGGGCCGCTGCCGATTCCACTGCAGCTCGTGCAAAACAACTGCGGGATGAGAGGGCACGCAATGCTTCGAAGTATCGACACGACCTTGACACGCAAGATGCCCAAATTCGAAACCTACAGCGCGAAGTTGATGCTTTGACGGAGCTTGCCAAGTCAATCGAAGTAATGCAGGGTCGTGTCGAAAATGCAGAGGTCCTAAAAGCCAAGCTGGCCATAGCGGACGACAGCGTTCGCTCAGCAGAGCGCGAGCTCGAGGGACTTCGGGCACGGCTTGAAGCAGCCGAAGAAAAGCGCCAGAAGAAGGAAGCTATCCGTGAAGCACTTCAGGCGAACATTCGCCTTAAAAGCATTGAGGAAGAGGTGGAGCGTCATCAGCAAGAGATCAGTTCCTTGCTGAAAGACCTGGGCGGTCGAGATGTTGAAGCTTTGCGGCAGCAGCTGTCCAATGTGCGGAACCGGGCAATGGAGCTGCAAAAGCAGCGCTCTTTTCGAGAGGGCGAGCTCGTCCAGACCAGGGAGGCGATTAGATCTCTGGAAGTTGAGCTGGCCTCCCCTCTGTACGCAGGACGGGTGAAACTTTGCAGAGTGCAACTTTGCACAGCCTGCAAGACTTGACCCCTAACCGAAAGGAGTGGAGCAACGCCATCGGGAGGCAACGATTCGGCACGAGTCCGCTGCTCTGGCAGCGAAGGACTGCTTGCTTGAAATCCTTGAATGAAATCCTCCAGCGTGTGTTACTTCACACAACGTGAACTATGCAGGATCTGGGCAGGTACCATTCAGCTCTCGACAAGGCCCTAATGAAATTTCACTCCCTCAAGATGGCTGAGATCAACAAGACCATCAAAGAGCTCTGGCAAAGAGCTCCTCCGCCTCTGCAAAGACGAAGCAGCACATATTTCGGTACTTAAAGATATCACATGTGGCGCGAAGATGCGCGAAGCAAGAGTGTTGTTCTGCCTGTTATTCTAGGTCAGTTTCGCTATGTTTCGCTTGAGCATGGTGAAAGTTGCTGAACTGACATGGACTGCTGCGAGGTTTACCGTGGCCGAGATATCGATTATGTTGCCGTAAGGCTCGCCTTGCGGAATCTGTGTGTGTTTCGTAGCGTGGGTGTTGTGCTGGGGAGCAGGCACCGCTATGTAAGCAGACATCAATCCGAAATGCAAGGAAGTCTACCATCTCGGAGCAGGAACTGATTTGGACCCTGCTGCAATCATTCGTGTTTGACAGTCTACCAGTGGAGTGATGAATGTCGCAGCCTGACTTGGGATGTGGCATGAAGGTAGATGCAGACCACGAGCAAGATCACATCTCATCTCCTTCATGATATCCGTATGTTTCCATCTCGCTATCCGTTGTGGTCCTTTTGCAAGGTTTCTCTGCTGCTGTTGGGGTTCTCCATTGCGACCGCACGTGCGGGAAAATTAAAGTCGTCCGCGCCACTCGCGCCGCTAGAGCCACTCGCCCAAGCGCGCCACTCGCGCCACAGCTAGGCAACAGGAACGAGTGGAACAGGTAAGGCAAAGGCCGAGTGGAGCGAGTGGAACGATTGGAACATTGATTCATTGGTGCCCCCAGAACAATACGACCGCACAAGGGAGCAGGGCGAGGAATTGAAGTTCTGCGGCACTCGCGCCACTCGCGCCACTCCTGCCCTTGGCTCCACTCGCCACTCGCACTGTAGATGAAAGGAATGAGTGGAGCAGTTAACGTACACCACGTACACCGCGAGTGGAGCGAGTGGCACGAGTGGAATGAGTGGAACGAGCGCAACGGTCGGAGCGAGTGGAGCGAGTGGAACGAATGGAACGGTCAGGGCGAGTGGAACGACAAGTGGAGCAACCTGATTCATTGGCGGCCCTAGAACAGTGCGAGCGCGCAAGGGAGGGCGGCGAGGAATTGAAGTCGTCCGCGCCACTAGCGCCACTCCTGTCACTCGCGCCACCTGCGCCACTCGAGCCACTCGCGCCGTGGAACGGGTGGAAGAGACGGATTAGTGCCACCACCTACGCCGACACTCTCGGGTTCTACTACTGTTGGGTTGCTGTTGGAGCCCTCTGTTCTAGTTTGCCCTTTGCTGCGCTACAAGACGAGGAAGCATTCGGGCCGATGACCTCAAGATTTCATCTCAAGCTTGTACGACGTGCACAGGTCGCATGGGCTTTGCATGTGATGGTCCAGTTCGGTCGTGCAGAAACCGAGCGAAAAGCTGTGTTTGCAACAGGCGCTCAAGGCTCGGCGGAATTCGAGCGATGCGTACACTGCAGCGCCGGGGTTTAAGATCTTGCGATTAGAATCGTGGCAGGAACAGCGCCAGTAACAAGAATGACACAAACCGCAATACATCGCTGTTTGCACCGACACGTGGCCATAGTTTGCGCGGTAAAGCACTGGCAGTAGAACGGTGGTTTGGCGTCAGCTTTTGAACCAAAAGTTCGACGGCATCTACAGCAACAGTTACATGGGGCCCGTTGCGATCCTTATCGGTTCCGGAGAAGTAGTGAGTAGTGCTTCGTAGTGGCACCCTAAGGAACATTGCCCTGACAAGGCCTGACAATACTGATGTTGATGGTACTAGTAACAGCAATCGTAATGCTAGCAATGTCCCCGGACTGCAGAAAGGAAGCAAAGCACCAGCAGTTCCAGCGACAAGAGCGCTGGCCATAGAAGGCATAGAACCAGCAGTGCCAAGTGAAGAGCAGCAGCATGGATAACAGTCCTAACGTTTGGATGAGATGGTGCCGCTACACTAGTAGATCGTGCGAATCGCGGGTATGGGCTTAAGCGGCACTAGTGGCAGTGGTGTCGTTGTGCTCTGAACGGCAGTATTCCGGGCCTCTAAACCGCGTGCAAAAGTACAAGTGCACATGGTGTAGAAACTCATGGTTGTAACTGCTTGGCCAGAGTGGCGAGACTCGGGACTTGCTGGTAGGCCGTTATGTCAGCAGCATGACTTTGAACATTCGAAATGCGAGTGATGCCGGCAGCATGTGTACTACTAGTGGCGGTATTGCAAGCAAGGTAAGTAGGCAGCTGTAGTCGGTTCTACAAAAACTGGAACATCAGCAGCGCATAGGAAAGACTGTAGCAAGAATAAGGAATAGCTAAGCAGCTTGCAAGAACAGGGAAGCGGGTGGCGGGTGGATTCGCAATAGATGACGTGATCCCGCTGATCCATAATTTTCAGGCTTTGTGTCCCGTGTCGCCGGGTCAGGCAGAGGCTTCGTGTGCACTCCCTTGCTTAAGGACGTGCTTCTGCTTGCACATTAGTTTGAAATGGTTTTATCACGCCGAACTCATGCCTTGGCCCACGATGGTAGCGTGTTGTAGTCGTAGAATGTCTTAGAATGCGTTTTGATGCGAGCATATACTAGTGCAGGTCGGACTCCGAAGAGGGAGATGGAGATGGACCAGTGGATTCTGCTGCATCCGGTCGTGCAATGTTCCACTCCAAGTTCAAGGCGATGACATGTCTAGATCGGAGCTTGGACTTGTGTAGCTTTTGAGGCGCTCCTACAACTACCGTGTCGTCATGGTTTGCGGTGATGCAGAGATGGATATGCGTCCTGCTCTCAGAGTGCAAAGCATGCCCACCAGCTCTGCCTAGTCGGCCTTCTACACAGCGTCAGCTCTCACAACAGCACCCCCGAACCTCTACACGTTGCTGAGCCACTACGCAGGGGCTTTCCTTTCAGGCTTAGGATTCAGCTTCTCGCTGATCATACATCAGTGAGGAAGAAGCCGTGCATTATTGTAGCTATGGTATAGTTCTACCTGTGAGGGTTTCTACAATATCCCTTTTAGGGACCCGCCCCGTGCTTTACGGTTTGGGTAGCATTTAGGAAATTTAAGATTGAGTTTCAGGTCTCGAGTTTGCGTTTGGAAGGTATCAGGTGCTTCAGATTTGTGACCTCCGCTTGTGTAGGATTTTGGGGTAAGGGGGAGAGGTCTGCCGTAGTTGAGACTGTGAGGTCTCTAGCTACTGTAGGAATCAGTGTTCGGGGGGTTTTGGTTCCAGAAAAGAACGCTGTGAGGCCCCTGCTTTTCACACACAAGGCTTTTCGATGTTTTGTGGATTGTCGCTTAAGATCGCTTAAGTATACGTTTTGGAATGATTCAAGACTTCTTCCGTACTAGTACCACAAATAGTGTATCATGTACTCGCAAATGCAGAATCAGCTATGAATAAAAAATTAGATGCAAAACGAATCAATATTAGACTTTCAAAGCGCCGGGTTTTGAGGAATCGGGCTAAGGCCTTAGGGCGGGAAGCCTCTAGGGGCTGGCTGCCACGGCAGGGAGGGTAACCCCCCAACCCCCACCCCCCCCGCATCCACCCCCAGCCCTCCAGGCCTCCGAACCTCCAGGAAACAAACTTCGGTTGCCCTCGGCCACTCTGAGTCTGGTTTCGCTCCCACGTACTCGCGGCTCCTGCGGCTGACATCTGAATTCCCATCTAGATCCAGGTTCATTTAGGGTTTTAATATGATAGACATATGATAAGGAGACCTAGCTTAATTAGAAACTTTAAATCTTAAATGCGACCCACCATTTTCTATGCAAAATCAGCCCCGGGGCAATAAAACACTTTTGCTCTCATCGTGATAGCATATTTACAGTGCAACGCTTTCCGCATGCATCCTTGTCACATATCACATTGGCAAGGTCGCAATCCAGCATTGACATCATGCATATCAAAATCAAATGCTTTTAGTTGAATGGAACAACCAAAGCGGATATATGGTCAGGCGCTCCGCGGGTCCCCCCTCCCTCCCCCCCATGGTCCATGGTCCAGGA